ACAGATGTACCTCTCCCTACTCGGGTGGGTCAGGGGTGGGCTAAATGTTATTTTGGGTTGAAAAAGAAGAAAAGTCACCTAGCTCTAACTAGTTCCTTGCTGGGTCCGTTCCTGAGCACAGAAGTTGAGAGGGAAAGGGAAGGTCTGGGATAGTAAAGAAGGGAGGGAATAGGAGGAGAGGGATGGAAAGTCACCCACCCCAAAGAGAACGACGGTTGAAATTTTTTTTGTTTTTTCCCTCTCTAGTTGGGTATATTGGTTTTTGGGTTTTAAAATGCAATAAAATATTGTATAACACACCGCATGTATCATGATTCATGCTTCATGACGAGGACAATTGATAAGATAAGCAAGGTGGGATTTGGAGTTGGAGTGGCCCATTTATTTATTAAACCACTTTGTGAGGTTGCTTTTTTATAATAATAGTCATTTGGAGTTGGCGTGTCCCATTTTTTTATGGTTAAATACTTTTTTTTAGTCATCAAGTTTTACACGAAAATTCAATTTAGTAGTTGAGAAAAAATTTAGCCAAATTAGTCGTTGTATTTTCCAAGTTTACAGTTTATAGGCATTATGTTATCTTTCGTTAAGTGTAGCTTTTATTTTTATTGTTTTAGGAAGTACCTCGAGTCTTCTTCCTCTAATTGCACTTAATAGAAGATAACAGAATATCTGTAAATTATACACTTTGAAAAATACAGTGATTAATTTGACTAAATTATTTTCTGAGTGATGAAATTAAATTTTCATATAAAATTCATTAATAAAAAAGATATTTAACCCATAATAATAAGATTACGACCTGTGCCCCTCTTACCAAGTTACCAGGGCTTATCACGCATAGGCTGGAAGCATTGACCAATAAAAAAAAATTTGTCAAATATGGAGGCAAAAGGCAAATCTGAGAGAGATCACCTGTCCCTTTATGGCTTTTTTTTTATTTAAAAAAAAGGATCGGGGCAATAAAATAATTAAATCAGAGTTGTTTTAACCAAAAGTGGCATTGAATAAAATGCAATCCAAAACCCAACGAACATATATTAAATATTTTTGTCAATATCCAACAACTAGCTAGCCTCACCTACTTCACCACACACTGAATAGGCAATATATATATATATATATAGTCAAAAGTTTATGTTTGGTCCATGGAGTTTGTCGATTTTATCTTTCTGATCCATATAGTTTTAATTTTGTCAAATTTATCCTTCTTGTTTCAATTTGAAACCATTCAAAGGAATTTTTTAATTTTTATCAAAATTTTGCAGATTCTTTTAAGTTTTGACCACGTATCCCTCACATAGAGGGGTATTTCAGTTCGCTCAAGTCATTCGGTGATAAAGCACAAGTTGTAGCTCTTCTCATTCACTTTAAAATGATTTTTGGGGTTTAGGATTTGGAAAAAAATTTGCATCTCTAGGTTAAAATTTAGGTGAATCGGGAGAAATTTGGCTCGGTGGATCAAAATGGCCCTCTATGGAATTGCAAAGAATTTTGACATAAATTGAAACGTGTCATTGAATTACTTCGAATTGAAAACTATAAGGATAAATTTGAAAAAATTAAAAATACAATGATAAATTGTACAAAATTAAAACTATAGAGATCAAAGTAATAAAATCGGCATACTATAGAGATCAAAAATGACTTTTTATCCAATAAATATTAAGTGGGAAATGAATTTTTGTAAATTAAATTAAATTGACTTACGTACAAGTACAAGCAGTGGAGGAGAAAGAGAACACCGAGCAACGGAAAATCCAATGTTGGGGTCATGCATTCAATGACGACGGGAGCCAGAACTGTGTCGTTTTGTCCATGTCAGCAAATCGCTCGTGCTCTCTCACCGGCTATTCACGGTCAACTAACTCTCTCTCTTTCCTTATTTATTTATTTATTTATTTCTTATTTTTCCTTTTTCCTTTTTTGGAGTAAAAAATGAAAAATGGGTTTTGGGTTGGCCTTTGGTTTGGTCCGTTGCTTGCTGCTCTCTTTCAGCTCTCCGACTATAAATAGGAGGAGTTAACCAAAATGCTCTTTTTTTCTCTTCTTCTTCTTCTTCTCTCTCCTGTTAAGCAAATTGCTATACAGTGGCGACGACAATATCATATTATTATTGTCTCATCTCCGACCAACTTCCGGCGAAATAGCCGGCGATCGGCCGATCAGACTGCCGAAGACTCTCCTCCGCCATTTACTCTCTCTCTCTCTCTCTCTCTGAGGTTCAAGCTCTTGAACCCTTCGACTCTCTCTCTCTCCTTAAATTTTTTTTTGTGGGTATGTTTGACTGAGAAGGTTCAGATCTGGTTTTTCTTGTACGGATTCGTCGATTTCCTCCATTGCTTTTTGTAAAAGCTTGCTGTTTTGAAATGGCTGCTCATTCTGGTTTATCTTGATCTACCATTGTTATCATTATTTATTAGTATTTAATTATTTAATTATCATTATTTATACACACAAAACATTACATTTGTTTAATTTTCCCTGCAGATGAATCTGTCAGAGACTCTGTTGTTGCTGGTTTCGCAATTTGTGACTCGTTGTTTGGTTCAAAAAGATTTTCTATTTTATTGCATATTTTTGTTTACAGATTTTTTTTTTGTCTTAATATAATTTTTTCCGGTAAAAAGTCATCCTCCAAATCCATTCACTAAATTAGTAACCGTAGTAAATTAGTAATAATTAATTTCCCAATTAAAAGTTAACTCGCTGTAAAAGTCAATATTTATCCTAATAATCTCCATCCTCTTAATTACTGCAGCTGTAATTTTTCCTCTCTCTCTCTCTCTTAAAATCCTACATTTTTCCATGTGAATTGTGTGCTCTTTCTTTTGGGGAAGTGAGTTGGTATTGTAGGGACCAACTTTCGTCTAATAATAAATTGTTTGGTAGGAGTGGAACAGAACGCACAAGTTCAGATCTGTTGGGAGGTGAAAGAAGAAGAAGAACAAGCGATTTGGTTTGATTTGGCTGAGCGATTGAAGAAGAATAAGGAAGAAGGAAGAAGTAAGAAGAAGAAATGGAAGGGGCAAAAGAGTTTGGACTAAGAAATGTGAGCTCGCATTGCTCCATTTCGGACATGGACGACTACGACCTCTCACGCCTTCTCGACAAGCCCAGGCTCAACATTGAGAGGCAGAGGTCCTTCGACGAGAGGTCACTGAGTGAGCTCTCCATTGGCCTCACCAGAGCCGGCTTGGACAACATTGATAGCACCTACTCCCCCGGTGGAAGGTCTGGTTTCGACACTCCCGCTTCCTCCGCTCGCAACTCGTTCGAGCCGCATCCAATGGTTGCCGAGGCATGGGAAGCTCTCCGCCGCTCTTTGGTCTTCTTTCGCAGCCAGCCGGTGGGCACCATTGCCGCATATGACCATGCCTCTGAGGAAGTTTTGAACTATGATCAGGTCAACTTTTCGCAATTTACCAAACCATTGCTTGCTTTTCAATTTCAATTTCACTTTGTGTGAGCTAATGCAAATACCCATTGCTTGGAATATTAATTCTGCAGTTTGGAGAAATAAACAGTTATTGTTTACAAGAGAATTATCCAGTCCCATACATGATCTCTGTCTCTCTTTTTTTCATTTGAATTTGGCATAAGCTTGGATAGAACATAATTGCACCCGTGGTGGACGTCAAAATAATCTAAAACACGATTCTTGTTGTGTTTAGGTTTTCGTACGGGATTTTGTACCAAGTGCTCTGGCTTTTCTAATGAACGGTGAGCCTGAGATAGTTAAGAACTTCCTCTTGAAGACCCTGCAGCTTCAAGGGTGGGAAAAAAGAATAGATCGGTTCAAGCTTGGGGAAGGTGCAATGCCAGCAAGCTTCAAAGTTCTTCATGACCCTATCCGGAAATCAGATACTATCGTTGCAGATTTTGGCGAGAGTGCAATTGGGCGAGTTGCTCCTGTTGACTCTGGTTTCTGGTGGATTATACTGCTCCGTGCATATACAAAGTCAACGGGAGATTTGACTCTGGCAGAAACTGAAGATTGTCAAAAGGGAATGAGGCTTATATTGACTCTATGTCTATCGGAAGGTTTTGACACATTCCCGACTTTGCTTTGTGCCGATGGATGCTCCATGATTGATCGTAGAATGGTAAGTTTCACTTCATTTTCACAGGCATCTCTTGTTTGATGAAGAAGTTTTATTGTTAACTGATATAAGAAGTAGGTTGAGAAGCCCTATAAGGCTTTCATAAGGTCATTAAACTTCAAATTTCTGGCCCTAATCATTTTACTATTTCGTAAAGTGTTTCCTACAAGGCTTTTGTAAGTCATC